TTCTTCTAAGTCTATGAATAGATGTCGTTTTTGCTTGATTGTATTATCTTTACATGATAATGAATGATAGACATGTTTGATATATTCATGGCTGTGCAGAAGGATTTGGAGGACCAAACTGCAAAGACCACTCAAGCTGATCAAACATCTCTCGTGTCTCTCACGAAAAACCTCTCGATTAGTCCTCAACCGTTCAAGAGTAGTATATGAGTGATAGTGGAGCATGCCTCGGGTTTTGTTTGAGGCTCGTTTTGCGTCTTATTATTCTAGGTTTTGTTCGACTTAGGGTTTCTTCCTAGTGTTTGCTAGTCAAGGATTGAAATTAGTTTCACTTTGCATTAATGATCTTTGAAATGATATTTACATTGGTGTTGCATTTATCACCTTGCTTTGTGATTGATTATGTTATGCACAAAGTTGAAGTTTTTTAGTAGTTGTGGTTTTCTCTTGTATTTTAGTAGTTCACACCATCCATGTTCTTTTCTCCTGTTCTTTATTTTTTATTCTTTCTTTTCTTTTCCTTTTTTTTTTCCCCTGGAAGGTATTACAATAGTATTTTTTTTAAATGACTTTTCTAATTATTATAACTATGTCTTTAGTTTAGAAGTAATTTATTCATATTAACATCCGAATTTTTTCAAATAGAACAAAAACTAAAGAGAAAACCATGTGCACTAGGGCTGAGCATGGGACTCGGAGAATTTCGAATCGTACCGAAAACCGAACCGAAATCACTCCGAACCGAAAAATATCCGTTGACCGTCTGACTTTCTCCGAACCGAACCGAACCGAAAAAATAATTGGTACGGTTCTGGAGATTTCATAAATATCCGTACCGAGAATCGAACCGAACCGTCCTGTACCGTACCGAACCGAAGAACCGAAATTAAGAACCGAATTATAAAAATAGATGCGTGTTATTAATATATTTTATGTCAACTTTGATCCTATATAATTTGAGAATTTTTGAAATGCAAATAAAATATAGTAATAACAACTAAGATTCACTTACATTTCATGTTTAGTAATACTTGATCTACAATTGAATTTCTCATGTTTAAAAAAAGAATAAATGGAATGAAAGGTTAAAGATTTTTTTAAAAAAATAAGCTTTACTTAAAGTTGTATACTTACCCTTAGTTTATCTTATAACTAACAGGGTATGGAAGGTTAAATAATTATTACTTTAATATAAAATTGTATTATATTTTGTTTGAATTTAAATTTTCAAGGTTAGTAGAATTTAGTCTTAAACTAAAATTTAGGGTTACTTCTAAAGTTGATTTAAAAATAAAATCATTAGTATGATGAAGTATTGATGAATGTTGGATTTAAAAAAAACATATAAAAAATAAAATATAACTAGGTGGTCATTCAAAAAAATTTAAAAAATGATAAGAAATCTCCGAATATCCGAACCGAACCAAACCGAGCCGAACCGTTTCGATAGCCCCGAAAACCGAATCGAACCGAACCGAACCGAACCGAAAAATAAAAATCTCCGAACCGGACCGAACCGATTTTTTGGTACGGTTCTGGAGATCGAATTTTAGTGATCTCCGAACTTCGGTTCGGTTCTGGAGATTTATCAATCTCCGAACCGTACCGACCCATGCTCACCCCTAATGTGCACCTCTTGTACATTAGTGTTCCCTTGTGATGTCATAATACTCGGCTCACCATTCAACGTTCAAAACCCAAAATCACACAATTCACATTATATATCATGTATTAGGGCACATTTTTTTTTTTTTCAAAAACAAATTCATTAACTATAATACGATAATTACATCTTGTTAACTAGTCCTAATAGGAGGATTATTCAAAGTAGCTTAGATAGCACAACACACACTACAAAAACCAAACAGAAAATAATAAAAAGCAGTCTAAATTCATCATAAAATAAAACAAATGTCCAAGGAACACAAGACCAAAAGCAGCAAACTCACATATATTCATTAAAAAAAATATAACCCAATTAATCACTAAAGTAAACAACTCAAAACAAAATATTCCTACTCATAATACTTCACCCTATTACTAATACTATTATTATGATTAAACACATCCTCTTGACCAACACCATCACAATCATCAATACCACCATTCACATCATCACCAAAACCACCGTCCCCCTTTGGAAACTGCATCATCGGCATCGGCGGCACCATCTGCACATAAGCCGGCGTGTAGTATCGGGCCTGCTGCTTCGGGCTTTGGCCCATTGTCTCGTACAACACCTGCTGCCGCTTGTACAACAGGTTGGGCCCAACAGGCCCAAACTGCATCCGGTGCTCATTCTCATTCATCAGCAGCATCATCATCATCGAGTTGTTCTGATAGTGGTGGTAGTCCACCGCCGGGTATTGGGCCGGGCCCACATCCAAATTATTGGGCCTCACAATATCCAATATTTCTACTTCTCTCTGGTCCACGCTCCTCCTGAACTGTTCGATCTTGGACCGGACGTGCTGGGCCTTGACCATGAGGCCCGCCGCAAACTCCCTTAATCGGGCCTCGGTCATGAGGCCCATGAAGTCCGGGCACGTGGGGTACTTGGCCTCGAGATTCTTCTTCCGGAGCTTGGCTAGCTCGTCCTCGATTTTTCTCTTGCGGTCGTGGAAAAAATCGGGCAGCCCGAAAGTCTTGTTGCCCGAGTCCTTGCTCTTGGCCCGATAGATGTCGATTATGCGCCGGACCTCGTCCGGGTCACGAGGCCAGATTTCGGGCTCCGAGTTCGGGCCGTAGATGATCATGCACGCGCTCACGTCGCATAGGGTAGTGAACTCGTGCATTTTTCGGATGAGGCCTTCTTTTCGTTTCTTGTAAGTCACGTTTCGTGATTTCTCCTTTGGTATGAGTTCCATTTTCAGCTTCGCCCTACCCATGATGATGATTGATGTTAATAATTATTAATGTCTAGAAGAGATTTATGACAAGGGCTGCGTAGAGAACAAAAAAAATTAAGGACCTTTTTATATTAATATACATGGCGTGCATTTATTGATCGTTTCCTTAATTGAATGATATTTTGATTTGGAAATTCCGACGTTATATTTGGTAATGGGATTTCTTGATTATTGTTTTATTATATAGAACAAATTTTGTCCAGCTAATCTCGATTTTGTTTCCTTGTGTGACGTGACTGAGACTAATTTATTGAACTTTTTTGTTGACTAATTGATTGATTCTTCTCATCGTTTCCGTAGTTGGTTATCAACATTGTTTTAAGATCCGTGCTGATGACGGTTCACCTGGGCTGGCCTTCGGGCACATAGTCGGGTCATGAGTCAAGATAATTAATTTTATAAATTTTAAATTATATTTTATATTATGAATATTTATCACATTGACATTTTTAATTAGCGTGTATGATAATTATATTCAAGCAATTATATAATTAATTTATAAAGTACAATTCTGACATGGATACCTCGCCATTGTATGTGCTACATATTATATTTTATGTAATATAATAAAAGAATTATGTTTCTTACCACCCAGGTTATTTTATGCACTATATACATATTACATTTTATGTAATGTGATAAAGAATTCTCTTTTACCTCTCGAAATATTTTTTTATATAGTCCTAAATCATCCTTCTGTATATAAATGCAGAATGTGTCGATCCTACATGTTGACTTCTGATTATTCATAATTTTATATGTGTTAACTTGTGGTGTTTCGAAATAATCATATAGATCATATTGTATCCATACCTATTCGAACTTTTAAAATTATAAAATATTTGACTAACTTAATAATAATAATTTACATAAAAGTAAATACATATTAATTTTTATGTAATATGATAAAGATTTCTCTTTTACCTCTCTAATTATTTTTTTTATAGTCCTAACTCATCCTTCTGTAAATGAATGCATAATGTATTGATCTTGCATGTCGACTTCTAATTATTCGTAATCTTATATGTGTTAACTTATGGTGTTTCGAAATAATCATATAGATCTGAATTGTATCATACCTATACGAACTTTTAAAATTATAAAATATTTGAATAACTTAATAATAATTATTTATATAAAAAGTAAAAAAGTTTGTATTTAGTATCAGTTTTTTATATATAATTCATCAAATTATCTATTTTTTATCGTTTGGATTTGACATTCTTATTGTATATATAAAATAAATAAATAGTTTTCATTTTCTTTATTGTAAAATTAAATAATCTGTAATACTGATTAATAACCATCTATTGCATATATTAAATATCCCCTATACTCATCTCCCTATTAATACTAGATGAAAATATTTCTATTTTAATACTAATTAGTATTCGATCATGTGCATATGCACAAATGTTTAAATTATCATAAGTTATATGTATGTATATAATATTAAAATTATAAATTAAATAATAGTATCACATTTTTAAAAAAAAAAATCATTATAAAAAATGAACCTTATAAAAGTATTCAACTTCACCTCTATATTGATTGCATAAAATAAAATGGATAATATAGTTTTTATAATTTTAAGAGATTCTAACCTATTAATTATTTAAAAACTATTATTATTATTATTATTATTATTATTATTATTATTATTATTATTATTATTATTATTACTATCACTAGTTTTTAACCCGTGCATTTGCACAGAAAACAGTATGATAGAGGAAAAAAAATAATAGAAAAATATGAACAATAGTAAAAATCATAACATAATCACAGGAAAAATTATTTTAAGAAAGAAAAATTTAATATTATTAAACACTTCTTTATATACAACGTTTGTGGTTTTTTTATCATCAGAATCTCCATCACCACAAATCATTGTCTTCAAAGACATTTTAAATAATTATTGTATTTTGTACTATAGATCATATAAGAATTTAAAAAAAAAGAAATATTAAAACAATACTAGCTAAATATTACAAAATAAATAATTGTATTTTGTTGATAAATAATGATATGTGAATATTTAAGACATTTGAACAAAATGACAATTTTTGGGCCATAAAGAAATATATTGATTGAATGATATAAAAAAGCCCAAATTATAAGTCCTTTTAATTTTTTAGGGTAGCCCAAATCAAATATATAACAGGTCAATGATAAAAGGACTATACATAGAGAGACCAGAAATTTTATGGAGCCATCGGATGCTCCCTTATGGAGTCATTCATAACTTGATATGCTGACACATGTCTAATGTGTATTTATTGTAGAACACATATCAACTGTAAAAAAAACTATTTGTGAGTAGCTACGGATGGCTCCATAAGACAAACCAACAAATGGCTCCATAGCAAAACCAGAGATTTCCCTAACCCACGACAAACTCGTCGAGATTCAGTACAAAACAAACTTTTTACCGGAGATTTTTTCCCGGTAAAGGCTTAGAAAATGAAAAAAAAAAAATTGAGAAATGTTGTTTTTGTGGCCACCAGAGATCGAAAAATATACATTCGTCCCGATTTCTTAATACGTCTTGCTAAATCGTAGCACGTCGGTCAAAATCGGGCTATAATATTATAGATCTATGAAGACCTGATATATTTTTTTAAATGGACTTTTTTTTCAATGATTTGCGTCGTTTTTCAAATTTTGTGAATAAGGTTCAAGATATATATCATATTTTGTATATAATTCGAAATTATTTAGATGTTTTTCGAAATCGTTTTTCAAAATCATTTTTCGAAGTTGTTCGAAGCCTTTTTTTTGAGTTTTTCAAAATGGTTTTTTGAAGAGAACATGACCTTGGTCGAAAATTTTCAAACTTTTATATATTTTGTTCATATTTTGAAAAAATAGATAAGTTTCTAACAGATTTTATCAACTCTACTAAGAAATACATATGTAAGTTTATAACAGATCTTTTTATAACATACGTTGGTAACTTTTATGTATTTTGTTCATATTTTGGAAAAAAAAAAATCTAATTTTTTACAGATCTACTAACATTTGATCATAACACTAAATAGTTCAGCTCTTTCTCTTCTTTCTCATCATATCAGTAAATGAAACTTTCACTAACACATTTTCAAAATCGTTTTTCGAAGTTGTTCAAAGTCTTTTGCCGAAGTTTTTCAAAGTTTTTAGTATTTTGTTCAGAATTTGATAGGTAAGTTTATAACAGATCTATCTATCGGATATTAGGAATTTCTTGTTTAATGTTTAAAATTGTGTTTGATATAGAATGATTAAAGAATTTTGAGGATTTTTGTCAAAAAATTTTAAAAATTATTAAAAAGTTTAAAAGATCTAAGATTTGAACATAAAAAATTACACTTTTCAGAAGTTTGTCATCATCTTTCACTAACACTTGTATAATTTGTATTTGACATCTTCGTTGCTTCTGCTTGTACGCGGCGTATGTGTTGGGTTCGCTATACTGTACGGATTAAAATCGCAGCGAAAATTATACAATATAATTATCATTTATCAAATAAATACTTAATCCGTAAGTACATATAGCGAATAAAATGATCGATATCTTTTAAAATCACGTAAAAATACGAATTTTGATTTGTAGAGAATTTTGAAAATTACCTTTAAATTTCTCCAAATAGCGACGATGAAGAGGAAATCAATTCCCGGTTATGTAGTTATCACCGTCTTCTTATTCCTTAAGGGATCCAAGTGTCTGCCCTCTAATCAAGTCCACCCATTTGGATTCCGACTCCGAGGACAATTTCTTCGCTAGTAGAAATTTTCCGGTATTCAATTGGTATTTAGAATTGAAATTAATAGAGGATATTTTTATTTATTTTCTTCAAGAACAATTCTTGCAAGAATGGGAGATATAATTTTTCTTTATCTTCACTTTCTCAAAGTGCAATATTTCAATTCAACCTTCATACATCACATATGTATGTATTTATAACTAAATTTTATGTATAAAAATGTAATGTTGGGTACAACCATTTTCATATAAAAATGAAATCTTGGCAAGACTATTCTTAGCCAAATTTATTAATAATAAAAATAAAAATAAATATGTAGAGGGGGTAACAACTCCCATCTATCATAATTATTTTATTTTTATTAATATTTAATCTTTAATATAAATTAAAGATTAATAATAACAAATAATTTATGAAACATTTTCAATATTATTTGTTAAAATATCTTTATCTCCCAATATAATAAAATCTCCTCTTATAATAATCATATTATTATTTGGATTTGAATTTTAAAATCCAATTTTAAAATCCAACTATTAATTTAGTAATTCCAGTAATTATTTAATTAATATCCAAAACCTAATTAATCAATCCAATTGATTAATTTATTTTATTCTTTTAATTGACATCTAATCAAAATTAGATTTAATTAAATAATCAAATTATTTAATTAAATTTTGTCAATTAATCCAACTATTGGAAATACCAATTTCAAAATAGTCATCATCCAAAATTTGGTGCGACCCTTTTAGGTTCACAATTAACACTAGTAGTGGGTTTACAACTCGTTTGTAATTTAAATTACTCTAATTAATTTATATTCTTAAAATTAACTCCTTAATTTAAAAAACCCACAAATCATGGTAACACCAAACAAGTAGCATGATCATATAGTGTTAAGTGAATCTTGGGCATGGATTTATAAGTCGAAACTCAATTGATTTAATAACTATGATTTCATTTCAAGTTTAGTGATTCCTTTATGAATCCATATTCATCCTGCCTTGGCCAAGGTCTTTGAATAACAAACTATGAAAAAACATAGGAAATTCACTTATCCACATAAGTGTCGAATTCTTTGTTGGCCACAGATAAACCTCCATACATATTAATACATTACCCAAAATATCCTTTTTATGATTGTCCAGCAATCAAAGGATAAATCAAAGTAAAGAACAACATGCACAAGATTACTATCGTGCCTCAAGTCATAGGATTAGTCATGTACTATTGCAA